AGAATTTTTCTATTGCAGGTGAACACAATCGAAGCAACAGATTGGCCCGTCTATGTTACATCGTATCTCGAAAATGGTCAATTAACAACAGATGACGAACTATCGGATGAAGTTAAACGAAAAATTCCACAAGAATCACACATGTTTATTATAGATCCAAGTAATGACATACTACGAAGGAAATTAGATGATGGAACTACAGTTCCGTTTGTTCCATTTATTAATCAATTTGATACCGTTCGAAAAAGTCACGAAGCATACGGACACATAGCCGCCGAAGGTACCTATCAGTTGCTTCGCACTAGAGCCTGGTGGCCGAATATGAAACAAGATATCAAAAAGTGGGTATCAATGTGTCAGAAATGTCAATTGTCAACACCAACATCGGGTAATCATGAAGAATTACATCCGTTAACACCTGTACCGGCCTTTCATCGTTGGTCGTTGGATTTTGTTGGTCCATTGCCAAAAATGGGAAGTCAAAACTGTTGGTTATTAACGGCCATAGATCATGCAACAAAATGGCCCGTGGTTAAAGCCGTACCAAATGCAACAACACAAACAGTAGCAAAATTTCTACACGATGAGATAATGATGAATTATGGGTGCCCCTCCGAATTATTAACAGATCGTGGCCCGAGTACCATGTCTCGGGAACTTCGTACGTATTTACAAACAATGGGCACAAAGCATCTGCTAACGTCCGCCTACCATCCACAGACAAATGGTACTGTTGAGAGGTTTAACAGAACATTTATCAGCATGTTAAGAAAATATATCCAAGGAAAAACAACGAAATGGGATGAATTCGTTGATCAAGCTCTATTTGCATGCCGGGTACGTGTTCATCAGTCAACAGGTAGAACACCGTTCTTTATGGTGTATGGTGTTGAACCTAAGATTCCTGGAGATGAATTAACGCCAATACTTGATGATCGTGGAAATACAACGATTAATACAACTAGCCGTCTGAACCAACTACATAATTTAGCGGTCGACCGGGAACGAGTCACAACAAAATTGAAAGAAAATGCTATCAAGATGAAGATTCAGTATGATAAACATGTGAAACACACTGATCAGTTAAAAACAATTGATTGGGTGCTTGTAAAGCATGAACAGAGGAAGAAGATGCATCCATATTGGTTAGGACCATTCAAAATAAGAAAAGTATTTTCTCTAGGAACTTTTCAGCTTGAGGACGTCAGCGGACAGATAAAAGCAGATTTAGTCAAGCAGATCCGGTATGTAGGGAGAAATACAAGACTTTCAACTCTTGAATAAAATATTTTTCACAATCTAAAATGCAATTTTGCCTATTAGTTTACATTCTCAGACTAAATCAATGTGGTGTCAAACAATAATACAAGCAACATATCCAGAACATGCAACTTTCTTTCTTAACGTAGTAGGAATTTATTTGAAAATAAAGTATTTCTTGAAGACTGCAATTTGAATAGTAAACAGTAGGACACATAGTTCACATTATCAATTTCTAATGAGATTTGGTTCCTATGTCATACCTTTTTTCTCGATAAATATGATCAGTCAAGAACTCATATTTACACTAGAGGTAGCATATGACTCTTACTCATACTTTACATTGTCGCACAAAGTAAAATTGAGCAATCCTACTCCCAGTAACAGTACTACTAAGAAGT